CACCAGCACCTCCTTTAGCGCATGTTTGAAACCGCTGCTAGAATGAGCGAGTAGAAATTTGCTACGATTTTCCAGAATCGGTTTGTTGCTTTGCTTCTCCGCATAATTCATTAAATAGGCCAGAAACTGCTCGTTGAGAAAGCCACGGCTAGCAATTAATACACATTTCACTACCTGCAACCTAAACTTTGTTCACTGTAATACCAGTAACGCTGCTATTTTCTTGGCCCAATATCCTCACTTTATCATCGCTTATACTTCATACCACTGAAACTGCCCAAACTATCCCTCATAGGTTTTTGAAGCAACTGAAATATAGCTGCGCCCATAGGATGTGCATAAACTTCTCGCCCTAGCGCTTCAAATTTCACTGGCCAAATTCGTGTCATCATCGGCAGCTCATTCACACTACAAATACAAAAAATTTAGATAATCTCAAATTATTCGCCGAGTGCAACAGCGCTGCCGATACAATGACACGTTTTTTTACGTTCATATATAATAGCGGGACCAATAACTATCAGAAAGTTCCTTGCTTCGTAGTTTGATATGTGCATTTATTTGAAAATATTCTTGTTGGCTTCTTCTCCACACAATAATCCGATAGTGCTGCACAGGGGAACCATATAAGTTCAGCTTTCTAGCATCTGGTTACCTTATTACAAGGAAATTTGACGCGCCTGCATATGTACGTATGTAAACGATCATTTTGTGCTCACAGGTCCGTCCAGAGTCAGCTGGCGCCCAAGTAAAGTACACCTCCCCATTTAGTCTAATTCTCAAGTTAAAGAGATGTCAAAAACCCCGCAAGCTGATCTTGGAGCCTTATGTGGACAGGCAGCGTCTTTGTGAAATTCCAGTTTTTTAGCTTAACTGATTCCCGAAATCATTCCCTGCCATATCTTTGACGTACTCGTGCGTAAGAAACAAGAGAAGATGAGCGTCTATTTTACGTCTAAGCCCCTCTTCTCGCGCCCCTCTCCCTCCCAAACTGGTGGACTAAATTGCCGAAATCCCAGCTTCAAAGTTTTTGTAGATCTGGAAACCGAAACATACGGACAAACACACGCACACACGCACACACACACACACGCACACACACGCAACAGTCTCTCCGCAGTACAGTTTGTATTCCAACAATGATGCAAAAATGCATTTTTTAATGAAATTTCGAGAAGTGACGACGACTCACCTTCAAATCGACATGCCTTATAAACGCTGCAGCAATAGCTTCAAAAAAACGTTGTATGCCCCTATCGTGCTGGCCTGCATATCCCTTTCGCTTCCTCGGTATCTAAATGTTATTACTTCAATAATTTTACGAATATTCGTGAAGACAGCAAAAATGGGAGAAATATTCGCTACACTTCCCGTGGTGTAATGCACACTGCAGTTTATATTAATATGGCTACCATAATACAAATATAATGTCTCATTTCTCTATACGTGGAAGGTTTAAAGGATTCAAACGAAGGTTATAAAGTTGCGAAGCTCGATCCCCTCCCGGTCCATATCCATTACAAAAAAGGTTCCACTCACGAAGAATGCAACCAGTAAAAAATGCCCCCTCTTGAGGAAAGCGAGAGGATAGAAATCCTGTTTGCTCATTCTTTTCTGTGGCCACCATCAGCTGACCAAGCTAATTAGAGATGAGGTATACCGTAAACATCATCCATTTCTGGATTTTTCCCACAATTTACACTTCCCATCACTATCATTAAATATTGTTTATCAAGCAATATTAATAGTGATGGCTATCACAACCCCACTTATCATTAACAGAAGGTATGTAAGAGGCTTACCTGCATGTCAATTTTTGCCTTTACGATGGTCATAGTGGCTGTAAGTAGGCACAGATGAGCCAGGCCCTCATGCATCACAACTGCAGCAACATCGGCACTGGCCGCTGGCTGAAAGCCACAATCATTGTAGCCTGAGTTTCAAAGCATAAAAATGCAATGAATGTTACAACTGTTAGGCCCGCACGTGGTCCTTGACTGCAGCAGCGATAGACAGAGAAGAAGCACCAACCGTTTATTTTTCTAATAAACACTTCACTTCAAAGAAAACCCCGAATAAGATGACGCGGTGAAACGATAAGCCGGGGCAGCGCACAAACTGTGCAACAGAAGAACGCCGGCGACGGTGGGGGGGGGGGGGGGGG